TCTGGCAGATAGCTTCCACAACCATCCTCATGAAAAGTGGGTCTCGAAACGAAAGTGTCAGGTGGCGCGACTCTTTCTGAAACATTTTGTCCCGTCTGCAGAATGAAACCAGCTCGCACTTCTGATCTGTGGTATATTCTCCGTAGTCCGCAAACGCCGTGCTCAGCTCCTTTGCATTCTTGGCTCCGACCGCTTCTCCTAGGGTCGTCAGGTCATTCAGTAGACCTCCCAGTGCCCAGATGAACGGTGGGCCCAGCGTATGATCTTTGCCCTGCTCTTTGACTTGTGCTGCGTAGGCGACTGTCTGCTCGCTCATCTGCGTGGCGATCACATGGTCCGCTGGCACGATGAAGGTATCGAGCACCACGCCTGCTATGTCCCGCTGTTGCTGATATAGCTTCAAGATCTGTTCCATCAGCAGGCAGAGTAGCTTCTTCGTCGGGTCGTTCATCGTGCGTTTGAGTGCGGTCGAGACCTCGGCTGCACCATCCTTGTCGTCCTGCTTGACCTTCTTGGCCTTGTTGCCCTCCCCGCGGTCGCCAGAGTCTCTCCTCGTGCCTCCTTCCAGGAGCGCGGGCATGGTGGAGCACCGGGATAGGTTGGGGGTAATGAAGCTCGCGAAGATGCCGATACAATAGCAGACTTGATTCAAAGACTACGGAGTTGCTCCCTGGGCACATCGGGCACTTCCATTCGGGTAAGGCCCCCAGTTTCCAAGACATCTGAGCTTTGCCCACAAAACACCTGCCATAGCCGCACGAATTCTTTTAATGCCTGCTGGCGTTGTGAACGTTTCGAAATACACTAAGACAATTCGGACATTGATTAGCTACCACTTCACTATGTAGAATATCTGTCACCTTGTGCCCTTTCGTTTGGTGTCCCGCTAGAGCTCTGTAGGTGTCGAATTTGAGGCCACAGGGGGTCCCGTCTGAGTTCTCTATCATACATGTAAAGATATGTTCGCCTTGTTCATCTCGGTGGTGGAGTTCGGGAAATAGCGTGCACCATTTGGCATAGTCAGTAAAGGCCGACGCGCGGAGAAGAGAGGGGTCGAACTTGAAACCCATGGGAGGACTAAGAGTCGGGGTCAAATATTTCACGCCAAGAACATCCCACGTCGTCCCAGATCTCAAAGAAACTCCCAGTCCCACTGATCCCTTTGCCAAGCTGTAGATTTCCATCGAACATTTTCGCCCACGGGTTCGCGTTGCTGTCAATCTTCCCACAGGGCTGTAGCGTGGGATCCTCGCCCGCCAGATGGCCAAACATTGCAGCTATCGTCTGGCAGTGAGCGTGTCGATGCTGAAGCATACTCTGCAGCCACTTGATGCGTCACACGGCGAGCTCACCATGCGCTGGTAAGATGCGCCATCTGTAAAGGATCTCTGAATGACGAAGAGAGCAAGCTTGAGGGCCGTCGTAGGAAGTGGCGCAGCCTTCCATCAACACCTTGATATTCTTCACGGCGCACGAAACAGTTCGTCTGTGTCCAGAACGAATCAAGGAGAAGCTTCTAGTCCCGTGATGCCACTCTCTAGAACCTTGCCCAATAACAGTTCTCGTTTTGAGACGGTGCATTCCTCGCTCGTGCCAAAAAGGTCCTATCACGGACCAGCCTGCTTGCATCGCGCGGATGCGGAAATCGAGCTCCGCCGAGTTGGAGCCCTTCATGTGGTGCCTAGCTTCTAAATGGCGGGCGCTGCTTCGAACGTTGCCGTAGTCCTTGGGGCATTGACCCTGGAGACGTCTGTTCGATCGATCGAACCCGAGACCAGGTATATTGTTTTTTTCATGTTCTGTCGAAAATGCCACTTCCCCAGGATGTTGTTCATTTGTTATCGCCTACTTTGATAGCCTCAAGAGCGCCCGAGACAGTAGAATATTCCAAGACTCGACGTCGAAACAAGTAATCAGCAAAACCGACCATGGGGCAATCCAGGGTTGGGGTCCCGAAGGCGCTGTAAACGTTGATGGGGTTCCGTCTACCTCGCAGATCTCGTTGTGGCACCGATTAAAGACACCCACAAACAGGCGCGGTATTTCACAGGAACCTCGCAGTCCCCCGTTTTTTGTCAGGAAGGCCTCAAACTTGTTGTCTACGGGTATTTTGACCACGCTGTTGATCAGTCGCTGTTGCGCAAAATCTGACATGTCTTCCCGCACCATCTCCGCAGATCGGGTCATCAGGTCTTGTGTCAAGGAGCAGTTACATGCATTTGTCATATCATGTAATTCACCAACGCGCGGAAACCGCAGCCGTCCCATCGACCGGCCAATCCGCAACTGTGCAAGAATCGCGCTTTCGCGGCGCCTGCATCTAAGAAAACCATGCCAGTGTCCTGGAAGAGATTTGTCATGCTGTCCGTCCTTGTCGCCATAGGCGCACAGAACTGCATAAAAACCTTTCCAGGCAACATCAGAGAGATGAGCGATGCTATGGCTCTGCATCTTCCGTTTGCCGTTCGCCTTATCCAATAGTACTTCTTCCGTAATCGAG